CCAAGGAAACGCGGTGTTTTGGGTTAATCTGGACAAGCACGGCAACGGCGATAGAAGAGTCGTACATGCTGGCTTACCTGTGGGCGAAGGAGAGAAGATTGGGCTGAATATCTGGCCCAGAAAATACTTCGGGTACGTGGACGGTGATAGTGTTGATGAGGCAGAGACGGCGCAGGCGGCACGGCAGGGATGGAGCGGGAAATGGAAGGACTAGGTAAAGTGTATGTTACCAACTTTCCGGGTCGTCGAAAACGAACCAGATTATCGCATTTAGCGCATATCTACTCATTGAAACAATCTATCGCATTTCAAAACCTTAATATTCAAATTACCCATCCAAGGTCGATGCGCAAGGCCATCCCCATGTATACGAAACAACGACGCGCGTTTCAGGCCATGGCAGATAAAGTGACGCTCAGCATCCGCACACCAAGACAGACAGGGCGACGCTGCATTCCAACTACCCGGTGGCTGCCGTGTAACACCAAGGCAATCATGTAAATTGCGGCGCATCGGTCCTTGAACAGCGGCCACTCATACACCTCAGCTCACAAAGACCTCACCATAACTCGACATATATACTCGCCAACACTCCGCGCTTCATAATCGACAGCTTTATACTGCCTTCTTCAAGACATCTACGTATCCCGAAATGCCACAAATCATCATCACCTACCCGGCCCTGCATCTACCACACTCGAGCCCCGCGCCCTCCTTCCCTGACTACCCCACACTCCACAAATGTCCAATGTACATTGCTCAGCTCATCGACCCCATGATCCGTTCCTGGAATCTAGGACCTGGGTTCTGTACGCGCGACAATCTTTTCGGTGTCAGCTATTTGATCGTACTGGGCGTGAATTACATCCTCGCTATGATGGCTTTCTTAATGGTTGTCGCTGTGCTGAGAAAAGTGGTGTGCTGTAGGTGTGGAGGAAGAGATAGAAAGAGGGGAGAAGATATGGGAGGAGATGCAAGGGGTATAGATCGAGCGGAACGAGGTGAGAGGGGCTGGATGGGCAAGGTATGTTTTGGTGACGTCATGATGCTCGGATGGGAGTATACTAATGGCTTTTGTAGCAGATCAAAGCTTTCCAGCCAATTCTGAGTCCGGTTAGAGAGAAGGAGAAGATGTGATGCTGAGGGCGCACGAAAGCGGGAAGGATGTTGATCTCGATACATAGGCACTTGATACGGCCAATTCGATGCCACGGACTTGATATATCTGCACATCAGAGGCGGATCTAATGCCACTCTCGCCACTCTCGCCAAATCTTAGGCGGGCTTGTCGTACATTGCGGGCCGAAAACCGCCGTAGACATATCCATGTCTTATTTTCGAAGTCGCGCGACGATTATGACCATCATGTGAGCGGATTCGCTAGAGGAGTTCTTCGCCTTGGGCGTTCACAGGAGTCGAGGAGACCAAGTCCTGGTGTTGAAGGTACTCCTTATTCGAGAGGACCTGATTGGATGGGTGTATACCAATTTCGGAAGTTGTGGGTCGCTCGCCGCGATGGGTCATGTGCAGTACGTTGGGACGGACGTGTCGAGAGGACTAAGGGTTGAGCATGCAGAAGTGGTTTGATAAATACGTTAACCTACCTTCTAGTCCTTTGTTTAGGCATAGTACCTTATTAAGACTACAAGAAAGTTTTAAAGTCTGTAGCTAAGTAAGAAAACATATCTTAAGATATACGTAGCCTTTTCTATAGAGTATAGCGCAGGCCTACTATTAATGTCTGCGGCGAAAGTCTCGTCACATGTGCTATATCTAGCCGCATAACTAACCCTCAGACTCCGACATCCAGCCCAAATAACGCTGAACCAAGCCGTGAGCGTGAATGTCTTCGCCCTGGGTATACATCGCATTTGGAATACCGTCATGGCTTCCTATGTCACCGCCTTGCTCGTACCTGGATAAGGTATTTGAGCATCAAGCGTTGACCCATGGTTCGATCAGCAGCATCACTTCTAGCAGCACTACATATCTATGTTGTCTGGCCGAGAGCAAAAATCCCACCTTCTTCCTTACCTTTACTGAAAAACTATAAGAACTACAACATGTCTTAACTATTCGGAGTAACCGACCAACAAACGACTTGCCTACTACATCAATATATCACCCGCTCAATCGACATTGCATATGGTGGCTTGCTACCCACAATCACCTCCCTAGAAGGCTTCCAGCCAACCCTCCAACCAGTTTGCAGGCTACAACCTCCTCTCCCTCGATCTCTTGGGGGACTCCTGCCGGATGTATACGCCTCGAGGACGGAAAGTCAAGACAGGGCAATGCAAATGCATCTGGAGAAATGGTGCACATGACGTCAACGCGCAAACAGATGATGTTGTTTTCGGCAGTTTCAACGAACGGTAGGCACGTCGTCAAGTCCGCGGTCTCGCGGTACAAACTTTTCACCTTCACTCCATCACGGCTGTCGCGCGCGCAGATTTTTCCCAACTCACCGATAAGCTCTCCTCTTTTGTATCCTCACTCTCACGCAGCCCAATCACGCCATCTTCTCAACCATGCCGGCACTTCCAGCATCCACTCACGTACCGCTGGCGCCTCTCAACCTTCCTGACTGGCCTCTCTTCTTGATCATCGTCGGTGTCCTCATCATTTTGCTCTTCCAGATCATTCTCGTCATCGTCTTTCTCCGTTGGTCCAACGTACACAGCAAAGCGCGGTGGAGGCGGCTTCGACAACGCGGCGTTGTCATTCTCGACGGACCGGCGCTCATCTGGACGAACCCAATACCACCTGGGCCAACAGTCTCGACCTTCAACTTACGGCAGACGCTTCAGACGTCGGACGAGCGAGTGGCTTAGTAGGGCACTGTTGCTACGACAAGGTCCAGATACGACATCGTCTGAACCGGCGCCGCGCCATCCTCATACAACTACCCCAAGTCAGCATTCAGAGCAACCAACAGCAAACAGCCATGAGTCTCTTTGAACCCAAATCTTCGCCTGTCACAGAAGTCGCGAAACAGCAGGCAACCACCTCCGCCACCATCATCATCTTCATCGTCATCTCCGCGATCGGTTCATCGGCCGTGGTAGGGTTCGTCCTGTTCGTGGCATGGTACAGAGTAAAGAAGAAAAGGGAACAAAATCAGGCGGCTGCCGAGCTGGTGGAGCTTTCTGTCATTGAAGCTGTTCTACAGGCATCTCCGGCGCGACAACATTAAGAGGTTGGAGCGGCGCACTGAGACACGTTGTCATATGCAGATGACAAGGATTCAAGGTTGAGCTGGTGAAGATACAAAGGATGTGATAGACGAAAAGGAAGGGAAGGAAGCTGGGTGGTCGGGCTGTATCTGCTTTCCTTGCGAGCTGATCTTCCAAGATCGAGTGTAGCAACCTAAGAAATGATACTGCAACTTGAACGCTCTACTTCCCTTCTAACGCCAGTGAGATCTTGAGCCCAAGGTAACCAAACGCGTCCCGTCGCATGAGTCGCGTAGTCTGAAAGTCGTGTCACTGTACCAAGATTGCAGTAGCGGCCCGTCCTTTCTGGTAAGCTCGTGACAACGCGATAGCGGTCAAACGTTGATACAAGCAGTAGCGCGCTCCGCGTGGCGAAGCTCGTGGGATCAGAATGAGGAAAGCGTAAGCCGTTGCGGGAAGTCAGTGCGGGGGTTCCCCTCACGGCGTTGCCTTTCTCGTACATTTAACACCCCTTGCCCTTCTCCTCTTTTCTTCTACAACTTGATATCACTCAGCTTCCACTCAATCCACCGATTATCCGAATACCCACGTCAGTCAGCCAACTGCCATGTCGTCCCAGAACACATCCAACTCCTCCGGCTCCGGCTCGGCTTCCTCTGGCAATACCGGCAGCGGAGGCTACACCACAACCAGCTCCGGTACCAACAGCCAGGTATGATCTTACTTCTTCGTTTTTGATACGCCTTACTGACATTTTTTCGTAGGGAAACCACTATTGCTCCCGCGACTATGGCTCCAGCGCCTCGAACCCCAACTCTTACCACTACTCCAACACCGATGGCTCGTACTACTACAGCAACCCCAACGTACGTCAAAATTGCCCAACACAGATGAATGCCTGCTAATTCGCTTCCAGGGCTCGACCTACTACAACGATGGTCAGGGCGGCGCGAGGTACAACTCCGGCAAATAGACTGCGTGTAGCTTGTCTCTTGTCGCTCCAAACTTGGTAGAGGTCAAATCGTGATGGGTCCGCACTGTTCCCTGAAAGTTGCGAAGGGACTATGACTGGCGTATCATCATACCGTAGACGAGATGGGATGAGTCCTCACGGCAGTATTGGGCGAGAACGAAAGCTGTTTACATATGAGAATGCATCACCAGGGAAAACATACAACGGGTAGTGCGAGGCAAACCTGTTCATTTCGCGTTACGAATAGCATCCCTATCGATCTTTGATACTTACACGCCGATGTGGTAGTCTCTTCTTGAATGTACGTGATGCTATGGGTTAGCAGGGTTCATTTGTGTAGACGCATAGCATGAGTGCGGAGTGAGGGGTAGGCCTGGGGGGTTCCGTTAGTGCCCGCGTCATCCCGAGGTCGCCCGCTGCTGGCATGAACCACGCGCACGACACTCATTACACATCTGACGTCCACAGGCAGCGCATCGCATACTTTGGGACAGGTTTCTTGCCTTCTTAAATGCGCGACCACTGGAAAAGCTGCTTACTTGCACAGTTGTATCGTGCTGTGTGATTGCTATCTGCTTCGACACAGGCATCTTCACAACCTTCAATTCCGCAAATGAATGTGAGGAACGAAGACACTGGTCTTTTCCCAAGGTCGCGTAGAGGAGAAGTAGCCCCAAGGCATTCGTATTATTCAAACACGTCAACCTAGGAAAGAATTAAACAGGTCTAGAGCCTACATCGACATTAGGACGCCTACTTTGCAGATTCCTATGTTAATGCAGGCTGCAGATCTGTTCAGTTTTTTCCTTATATGAGGTGCAAAGATAAATACCGGCTATAAAAAGGGTCTATCATTGACGAACTCCATCCTTGTTGCTCGTTATCTGCGCTTGGCTGCCAAAGGACTCTCGTTCATCCAGCTCGATATCGCTATCTGTCCGTATCCACCCTTTGCTCTCAATTCGAGTGCTAACGCGTATCCTGCTTTGCAATCTACTTTTGTTGGACTGGCCGTTCGATCCCGAGGCGAAGTTACTTCGGCTGTTGGAATACTGTGTCGAGGGGAGGCGAAGAATGCCACCGACGAGGGGCTTGAGCGATGGCGCGCATGCGGCTATGATTCCGACGTTCACTTGGAGGAAGCCCCAGAATTGGATGTCGTTCGTGCTGGCATACTGTTAGCAAACGTCCATACTGGTTCAAGTATAGACATAGAGACATACAATGACTGGTCGGGGTCGCCTCTCTTTGTGTTCTGGACAACGGCCTTGACGATACCCATGGCCACCGCTCTTGACTTGGGTTAGCTCTTATACCTCAACTCAAGTCTCTCTCTTGCCAATGCCGAGAAACTTACGTATAGCCCAAGCTCAGAACAAATATGAGGTACATGCGAGTCTTCTGCTTCATCTGCAACCCCATAATGATGGGAATAGGGATGGTTGCAAAGCAGATATCCGTAAACATATTGCAGCCTACATACGATCTAGTCAGCCACCATGTACAGTGAGAGTGGCGGAGGACATGCATACTTGTGTTCATCAGCGCAAAGCCCTTGTGGATTTTCACAGGCACGCAGGTTGGCTTGAGGTCCTTATTCCAGAAGCCGGCGATAGGTTTGCATACGGCAGCCCATTCACTCCAAGATACCAGTGTGTAGAGACAGACGAATGCTGATCAAGGCTTAGTAGACGTGGTTGATTTGCTTTTCGAAGCACCATGGACTTACCATTAAGCGACCAGAGTATCCTGTTATATAACGTGGGAACACCCAAACGAAGGAGTGAGAACCCGACGGACAACTTGAGGAAGGCCATACCCCCAATACTGGAGACAAGAGCTTGTATGAAGGTCAACTTCAGGTACTCTTGGTGATCTGACTTCTCGAGAGTGTCGGTGTGACGACCTAAGCCATGCTGGCCAGCTAGTATGTAGGTCACCATTCCACCAAGAAAAACACAAGTCTAATCCACGCAGTTAGGGAAGCGCTCAAACTTGATTCACGATAGTATCTCACCGCTGCCGCTAGTATGAGGGCATCATCTTTGCCGAAAGCCTTCACGACGATGAAACGGGCGTACATGCGCATCCCAACAAAGGTCAGTGCGATGACATGGAAAGTCGCGGTAACGCCGAGGAGGTATCCTAGATTACTCTCTGCTGCACGCACCGGGTCGGTATTCTTTGGTGCCATAGTAACGGCAAAGATGAGGGTCTAGCAAAATGGAGTCGTGGGGAGGAGACATAAGTGTCATGCATCCTGTCGAAACCAAGGATATGTTGTGTTACGTGCCCCCTTCCTACATTCCATGCCCAGCAAGATACGGAGCTCTCTGCAACGACTTGAAAGCACGGTAGCAGTGTTCTAGAAGGTGACATGGCCTCGTTTGTTGGTTCGTCAGCCTGCTTACCGTGAGATGAGGCATCCTTGTGTGCCAATTTCTTGGAGAATCCTTCCTGCGCTTTGCTTTTTCTTGAAACGACTGTATATTGCCCATAGTGCATGGCAAAGAGACGGCATCGCCTGCATGCAGCCCGCACCTGCATCTACTTTCAGCATGCACCGGTCCCAGATGCGTTCGCGCACTAAGCAATCGGGCCGAAGGGTAGGATTCCATCGCAGACGAGCCAGCCCAGCGCAACGGTTCGACGGGTCGACGGGTGGCTAATGGTCCGCTGCGCGCATGAATGGTCTCAACTTGCAGCGAAAACCGAGCTCGCTTCAGTGGTAAACAAGCCGACATGTTGGTTCTTGGGGGTGGCAATACGAGAAGGATCAGTTTAGGCTGAATAGGCAAAGGCAGAGCTGGAAGCCTTTGCGATTTGTTACTTGATTGCCAATGGGCTTGTTTGGTGACATTGCGTGGGATATGAAAATGTCTCTGGATTCCACAGGGTTTGGTAGAAAGCGGCGCGGTCATGGGAATGGACCGGTTGTTCGTGGGGCGGCAGGTACGAGGGATCGTTTACCGCTGTCAAGGGCTCTTTCCCGTCTCCGTCCCGTCTCGCATTCACCGCAGGAAGGCGCCACTCCTACGCGACCCTTTGACGATCTCATGCCGCAGTCAGATATAGTCGCATGGTGTAGGACGGCGTCCCATTGGTCGACAGCCAACCTTTCGCCTTCGTATGCATATGTCATTTCAATCCAACACAATCCTACAGATCCCAGATCTTAGCAGTGCCAAGTTTGCTTCAGGAGCCTTTAGATCACCCAGCTAAACGGTCGACAGATGATCCTTTCGCATCGCATCGCGCGAAGTTATCACTACCCAAAACGGTCCCCGTCGTGACAGCCGTTTACTCGCCACTCCAAGCGAACAATGGGCGACCACACACAGTGCCGTGCTCTGGAAGCATGCACTCCCATCGCCCTGACATGGTATAATCTTGGCAGCATAAAATTCCGCATGGTAATATCCCACGACGAGCGCTACCAGCCGTTCAGTCGCTACTCCGAGATCAAAGACGTACCTAGGGAGGCCGTAGGCTAGCCTGCATCGCGTTTCCAGTACAAGCTATGGTCCCATAGCAGGACACTCTTGGGCTAAAGTACGAGGAGGATGCAGGCTTTCATTAGGCGCGCCTATACTCTAAGCCGCGTTGATCAATCTATTCATCTGGACTCGCTGCAGAGCCGCTTCTTCTAATATAGGTCCTTGGAAATCGGAAGTACGCTTGCGGCGAAGGCCTTGCATGAACAAGGGTTGCCTTCGCATTGGATATAACCGTCGATTTGGATTCAGATCTTACTTCCTTAAATCGCCAGACCTTGCACATAGCGATCCCATTACCATCACCATGCGTCTGTTACAAGCTGTAACCGCCGTGCAGCTGTTGGCTGTAAGCCTTGTGGCTGCGGTCCCCTTTGACTCGCCCTCAACTCCAGTCATCGATATAGACCCTGCAGTAGACCCTCTCGAGGCTCTCGCCCAACTGCAGCAGAGCGCATACGAAACGCTTGAACAAAATGAGAGTGTTTCAAAAAGGGCCCCCAAGGGTTGTTCTTTGGCGAAGACAACCATCCGGAGGGACTGGTAAGCTTACCGCGCGCATGAATGAGTGCTGGCTAACTTCGACAAGGGATCACCTGAGCAAGTCAGAGCGGAAAGCATACATCAAAGCTGTCCAATGTCTTCGAACTTTGCCAGCCAAGTCCGACAAATCGTGGGCTTCAGCAGCGAAGACGCGCTTCGATGATTATGTCGCCATCCACGTGAACCAGACCCTTGGTATTCATGGCAATGGTCTCTTCCTCACATGGCACCGCTACTTTGTCTGGTCGTACGAGCAAGCCCTCCGAAACGAATGTGGCTACAAGGGCTATCAACCAGTCAGTGCCAGACACTTCGGGTGACTCTTACATGTCTAACTTCTCTAGTACTGGAACTGGTTCGCACATACCGACAACATCTACAAATCACCTGTCTTCGACGGGAGTGACACCAGTCTGGGTGGCGATGGCGAGTTCTTCGCACACAATGGCAGTCTTGCCGGTGCCCGAACAATCTCCATCCCCTCTGGAAAAGGAGGCGGATGTGTCAAGAGCGGCCCATTCAAGAAGTGAGACCGTCGTATAACTCAGTACTTGCGGTGAGCTAACAAAGTACAGCACGGTGGCGAACATTGGTCCGATTTCTCCTGGTATGCAAGGCTTCCCTGATTTGGGCATCGACACCAACGACTACAACCCTCACTGCCTGCGCCGAGACATCAGTCCTTACATTCCCAAGAAGTGGTTCACTACGGCGAACTTACTGAATGTGACCATTGGCAGAGCTTCTCAGACGCATCGCGACTTCTGGGTCGAGATCCAAGGTCGCTACCCGGATGGCTTCCTCGGTCTACACACCTCAGGTCACTACACCATGGGTGGCGACGGAACTGATCTCTACTCCTCTGTGAACGACCCCGTCTTTTGGCTCCACCACGCTATGCTTGACCGCATCTACTGGATTTGGCAGACGCTTCACCCACGTGAGGCGAATGAGGTGACCGGTACTTTGACCTTGTCGAACAAGCCTCCAACCCGCAACGCCACCATCGACGAGCCCTTGGTCTTGGGAGTCAACGGAAAGACTGTGAAGATTCGCGATGTGCTCAACACCCTTGGCGGTAGCCCTCTGTGCTATATCTACTTGTAAATAGGATCTGCAGTATAATCTTAGCCTGGTGGTTATTTGGCATTCGTAGTTGTTAGTACTTGCGCTCGGCTGTATATACCCGTTGAGCGTCCACCCGGTCGGTGGATCAAAACTAGGCGGGTATACCCACCAATCCTCAAAAGCAACCACGCAACCTTTCTCGTATACTACCTCTCGTCCCTGCATCGAACCTTCCTCACCTACCGCATAGAGTAGGCATCGAAAGCAGGCGCCAAACGGTTATATTAAAACCTTCTCACGCCTCATCCACCATCTTCGGCAATACGTCGGAAATAACACTTTCCCATCACCATCCACTAAACTCGCGCATTGATCGCAGCACTCGATACGGCAATAACGGTGAAACAGCTTCATCCTCGCCGATATTCCTCTGAACAGTAACCATCGATTGCAGGCTCCAAAGCTTGGCTTCTTCAAAGTTACCCATTAAAGAAAACCGTAGATTGTAGATGCGGAGGCTTGGTAATGCCAATGGAGAAAAATTGGTTTGCTTGTTTTGCTTGCCCGTGGCTCACCGACTCGTACCCGCGGAAGGGAAGGTTACGCGGGAATAAGCAAACTTTTTTCCTCTCTCGATGACGCGCCAACGACACGTCGATGTCGTCTGTTCTGCCAACGAAGAGAAATTACTGGAAAAGGTAGGCGTGGAAAGTAGGCGTTTGGCTTGTCAGACTTGGTGTAGCTTGGTCGTTCCTTAGGAAGTGGGTGCGTTTACGGTGTTGGGTAGGTGTTGAAAGCAGGCGTATGAGAGCCTCATATTTTTCCGTTGGTGAGGCTGTAAGATGAGATGTCACGTGTAATCGCTCATGTTCTGTTGATCGCCAGGCGTCTTTCGTACGTATGCACTTGTCGAATTGTTGGCATTCTGAATAGTCGCATCCAGGCACGATGGTAAAACGCGCAGCGTTGAGGGACACATAACTTCTACTTCTATACCAATCCATCCCCGTCTCTTCCGTCTCGCAACGAGCATCAGCCTCGCAAACCGAGCATCGCGTCTCTGTACTACCAATGTATCGCCATCGGCACCCTGCTTCAAATCCCTCCAAACTAAACACGCCTCCGCAAGCGTACCAACATCTCAAACACTAAAAAGCAACACCAAACATCGGTGTGTCACTTGGCCTACCCAGACAGGCTATCATGGAAAGTAGGCGTATTCCTTCGCTTCATCTTGCATGTGTTCAGATCTCGGTACAAATCTACTAGGCGTGCAGAAAAGCAACCAGCACTTGACAAGCGTGTTCCTTCATAGCC